ATCCCCAGTCGGTCATACCAGGTGGATTATACCTGTTAGAATAGTTTTTTCTTCCTGCTCTTGCCAAGTGCTTGTTTATAATGGGTGTCATCTCACTGTTAGGCACTATTATTGTAGGCTCTTTACCTGACAATATAATGACCTTGGGGTGACTTCTGTTGTGATATATATATATACACATACATACATACATACATACATACATATATATATATATATATATATATATGTATATATACACATACATACATACATACATATATACAGAGACAGATATAAATAAAATATACGAAGGGGATAAATAGAATAAATAGGAATAAAAATAAAATAAAAATACAAGTGAATTGCACATTTTATTATGCTTTGAGTTTTAATTCTATGATTTCTTTCTAACTGCTTTATTTTATCCATACTGTGATTTTCGTATTTAATTGCTTGTAAAGTGTCTTTAAGTATTTCTAAAGCTCTCCATAAATACAATGCGTTGTTGTTATTATTATTGAATCCTCAGTATGAGGACTGAGTGAAGAGTTCAAGGACAAAGAACTTTGACATTGCGCTTACAGCTTTGCGTTAATGCAAAGCACTGATTACGCACTTGTTTGGGTAACATCTCTCCTTCCTAAAAAATAAACCCTACTTATAACAACAATCAAAACCACAACATGCCCAAGTGTTGTATGTTGTGCAATTTTTCCATATATTGTGTGCTGCAGATTTTGTGAATCACATTTACATGACTTGTTAAAATATTCTCCTCCAGAAAGTGAAATTTCTACACATACATATACAATAAAGGCCAGCCGCAAAAATATTCCTGTTTACAACTTTCAGTCACAAAGTGGACTTTGTGCCACTTGAGTAGCTCCAGCAGCTTTGTAACATCAGAAGCCAGCTCTGCATGGTGCAGACATGAGTAAATCTTGCTTTAATTTTCCTTTTTCTCAAAGCACTGCTCTTCTCTTATCAGTTCTCCTACCCCACCTTTTCTTGACCTTGATGATGTTAGGAAAAAGAGATAGGAAGGGCTTTTGGAATGCACCCTGATCATCATTGCTCCCCGTGTCTAATTTCTCAGCTGTTTCCACTTCCCCGATTGTTCTCTGTGTCTGTGTTTTTGTGTATGTATTGCTTCAGTCTTCCCTTGTCCTTGTTCTGATGTCTGTTGCCCTCCATCATGTGTTCCCTGTCAAATTCTGTTTGGCTTTTGTTTTCAATCCACCATTAAATACCTTATGTTAAATCCCGCCTGCTGTGTATGATAATAATTTCAGGTTATTATCTCAAACTTTTGAGTTATCTATGAGTAAGATGAAATTAAGAGAAACTAATCAACAATTTTGATGCACAGATGGAAAAAATAGTTGAATCTATTAAAAATGTCCAAGAATTTGATCTTTGAGCTCATTCTTCTTTCAGCTGCTCCTTTTAGGATTTTGCCACAGCCCCTCATCTGCTTGCATTTCAGATCACATACATAGAACTTGGCGACAGTGGGAAAGAAAAGCACCATTGTAACAGGAAGAAACCTCTGGCAGGATCAGGCTTAAGGAGCCAAGAAATGTTTGGTTGCTCAAGACAAATGTAACCTCAAAGATTATGCATCTAGAACGCCTAGCGTTACTTTCTTTTTAATTTTTGAAAATTAATTTCAGTGTTTGGTTTAGCATCTTATTATCATTATCATTATCATTATTATTATTATCAGGGAAAGTATTTATCAAGGGGCAGGTTTAAGTTTTAGTTTTTACCAGTTTTTACAAAGCAAAAAACATTTTGTTACATACCTTCTTCTTGTCGCAGAGATACCCGTGCCACTCAAATTCAAAAAGTGGCCTAATTTCTGGATCCAGAAACGCCGTAGGAAACTGCAGTTTTAGTCTCTGTTGAGCAGAGTGGACAAATACGGGTGAAAGGTCAAAAGGTTAGGTGAAATTAAACCAGAGAAAGCGTTAGTTTACCTCGGCGATGCTTTTAGCAACGTGGAAACTGCAGTCTTTAAACACACCCACAATTTCAATGAGTATTTTTGAGTCCATGGTTGAAAAGAGAGCGACAGTAAACGGTGCCTCGTATCCATAGCAACGAGGATTTGAAGGCGCTTTAATATGACGTCTTATTTAGCCCGCCGGGTTTCGACCGACTCTGTGGACTGTTTCCTTCATTGCTACTTTGTCCTTCATAATTTATTGTTTATTTAAAGCTAAATTAATCTGTTAATAAATATAACGACTATCACCTTGTAGATGAAATGTAAAGCTCTCATCCACTTTGTTTTCAGAGCAAAGCCAATTAATGCAGAAACAAGGCAGTGTTAGTACGTAGACCTTTAACAAAATGGGACGCGGCCCAATGGCGCCACAGTTCGAAAACTCCGACTTGCTGTACCGTTTTTGTTGTTGTAACATTGGGGGTTTTAAAATACATTTCTCCGTTTTTAATTGTTTAAAATCCAATTGTGTGTAAATATGGGCGTTCAGGATTTGTGGTCTATCGTGGAGCCGGTTCGTGAGTCGGTGCCTCTGTACAGTTTGAGTGGAAAGACGCTGGCAGTCGACCTGAGTTTGTGGGTGTGCGAAGCCCAGCACGTCCAAGCAATGATGGGGAGAGTCACGAAGCCCCATCTGAGGTAATGTCCTCATAATAAACTCATCGCGCTGTTGCTTCCAAGTAACTATAAATTTAAAAGCTTTTCTTACTCCACGCTGTGTCCAGGAATTTATTTTTCAGGGTATCGTCCCTCACACTGATGGGGGTGAAACTCGTGTTTGTTATGGAAGGAGAGGCTCCAAAAATTAAAGCAGAAACCATGAACAAGAGGACAGAAACAAGATATGGAGGCTTCAAGAAGAGCACTGCTCCGAAGTTTGCAACAGGCACCAGCAGGGGGCGCTTTAAAGCCGTGCTGAGAGAGGTAGGTCTGTAATCTCCTGCTCAAAAGAAAACGTCTGTGGTTATCTCTGCCCACTTTTCAGCTTGCTACGACGGCATTTTTTTAAGACGGTACAATTTAGATGAAAAAGCAAGATCTGTCAAGTTTAGAGAAAAATGTAAAATGATAAATATAAAAACAATGATGAGAAACCATCATTTTACTAGAAAAAAATGGTCAAACTTAGAGAAAACCATATAAATTCCATAAAAGAAGAAAATAGTTAATAATAGATCTAAGCGTTTAGTTTAAAAAAATGTCAAAGAAATTTTTAAATTTGGAGGAACAACATGAAGTTATAAGGACAAAAATAGCAAACTGGCAAGAATTAAGGTCAGATTTAGAAGTTTTGAGAAAAAAGTTAGATTTTTGAGAAATAAAGAAAAAACAACAATAAACATGTACAGAAACATTTTTATATTACACCTATAGGAAATAACTGGCAAATTTACTTGAAAATATGAAAGTCTATTTGAAAATTTTATGACAAATTGTGTTGTTTTTTTTGTCAGGCAACAATATTTTTATTTACCTTTTCATGGTTAAGTTGTAAATAAAAATCAAATATTTGAACTCCTGGGATAAATTTCTCATTTGTAATTGTTACCTCCAGTGGCCTTACATGTCTTTGTACTCCCTCTGTAGTGTGCAGAGATGTTGGACTACCTGGGTGTACCGTGGGTGACAGCTGCTGGAGAGGCTGAGGCCATGTGTGCCTACCTGGACTCACAGGGCCTGGTGGATGGCTGCATCACTAACGATGGAGACGCTTTCTTGTATGGAGCCCGTACTGTGTACAGGAACTTCAACATGAACAGTAAAGTATGTCTGTGGAAGTTAATCTTAAGAAAAACCTCTTTGGAGTAATAAGATGCAGTTACTTGTGTAAATACGCTACAGATGGTTTGGAAATCCTGCAGCCTTGAAGCTATCATTCACTGACCTACGTGTATTTTATACTGCAGGACCCTCAGGTGGACTGTTACCAGACTTCTCGAGTGCAAACAGACTTACATCTGTCCAGAGAGAATCTTGTCGGTCTGGCCATTCTCCTTGGCTGTGATTATATTCCCAAGGTAGTGAAGACACCTTAATCTGAAATCGGCTAAAGGAAAATCTGTAGTATCAATGCTTTTTGTTTACTGAATGCTTTCCTGTTTCCATAAGGGCATACCAGGTGTTGGCAAAGAGCAGGCTCTGAGGCTCATTCAGACGCTGAAAGGACAAACACTCCTACAGAGGTAGAAAACACAAACACACGTGAATGTAGCTAAGCAGTTTCTCTCTGCGTAGCCCGAGTTAAAAGTTGTGTTCGTGTTCTTTCTGATAACTACAGGTTCATCCAGTGGAATGAAGAGACCACAGAAGTGTTTGAAGGAGGTGTAAAGAAGGTTCCTCACTGCAACTTGTGTCGACATCCTGGTGAGTGGTGCCCTGCTTTGAACTCTGACCTCCACTCCTGATCCTGTGGCTATTTTAAAGCCTTTTAAACTGTCACGTCAAAACATGCAAGTATGTGAGAGATTTCAGCTTCTGAGACCCCTTACTGACTGTTATTCTTTCGTTATCAGGATCAGCTAAGACTCACGAGTCCCGCGGATGTGTGCTCTGCGGCAGTAATCGCTTCTGTCAGCCTCAGGATTTCGATTACCAGTGTCCGTGTGACTGGCACCGCTACGAACAGACTCGCCAGGCCTTGTCTTTTGAGGCAAACATCAGGAGGTGAATGGCAATTCAGAATGTCAAAGCTGATTTTCTGCTATTTAATAACTATTTAACTAAACAGACAAGTTCTTTTTTGCAGGAAAACACTGGCGAGTCAGCATTTTCCTTTCACTGAGGTACATTTTGATCTTTCTTTTTTATTTTTTATTATAACTTGACAAATTATTGGAGTAATTTTTAATGCCTAAACCATGTCTTGCAGATCATTCGTGAGTTTCTGGTTTCCAAAGATAAGCCTGTGTCACATTTTAAGAGGAGGAAGCCGAATATGCTGCTGATCCAGGTTAATGGGTTTGTAAATTATTAAGTGTAAGGTCATCTGTTCGGCGGGCTGCGTGTAAACATTTACGTTTTGTGTCTTTAGAAATTCACCTATGATAAGATGGAGTGGCCGAAGCACTACACCAGCGAAAAGGTGCTAGTGTTGATGACCTACGCTGAGCTGATGAACCGAAAATATGGAACAGACATGTCCTGCCAAGTTGAGCCCATCCGGTAGTGTTGCAGTTTTTAATGTCAGATAAGTTATCACTTTTATGATATTGTTATTATAACAGCTTTACATCCTTAACTTTCAACCTTTTTTTCATGCTAAAGAATATTTAAACCAAGAGTGAGGAATGGCGTTGCTTGCTTTGAAGTCATCTGGAGAACACCAGGTCAGTTTAAATCCCATGATGGGGAAAAAAGTATAATTTACTCACAGCATACAATAGAAGGGGAAGAAAAGTGACACTCAAGAATAAAAAGCTGATTTGAGTGACAGGAGTACTGTGTTTAGTGGAGGTTGGGGTGTAGGGTGCTCGTCACCGAGTCGTCTGTTAGTGACTGGCTGTGAGGTGGGGTTCAGAGGTGACAGATCAGTCACAACAGGCACTAGGTGCTAAAGTGGCTTCCTCCCTGAGCTGGGAAATCTGTCATATTAAAGTCCCCTTAACTAACAAGCCTGTCTGATGTGAGTGGCCTCAGAAAATCTCAGCTAACTTAGATTGTTCTACATCAGAGGAAGG